AGGGGACCCAGCACCTCCGGGCATGCCCGATCTACGCTTTGCAGCACTTTTCGCAGTGCGCCCATGCTTCTGATCCATACGCCAACGTAGGATGTCGAAGTACGAGGGCTCAACGCGAGTGGTCTTAAACTCGCGTAGCTTGAGCTCATTGGTATCTTCGTCGACGAACCATTTACCACTATTTAAATCGTCTGCAAGGACGGCAAGGAAAGCGGCCCAGGATTTGGCGACAACATATTTGGTGTCGTAGTCCCGCCCAAACAGAACGACTTGACCCCAAGTACCAGTTGGGCCGGGCGCCAGATCAACAGCCAGGTTATTTCCACCCCAGTCTCGTACCAGAGGAATCCAAGCCGGATGTGCATACGCTCGCTGGACGGCGCCAGCAGGAACACTGTCTTGTCGTGCTTGGAGATCTTGCCGCCAAGAACTTTTGTGAGAGCCCTGAGAACCCGGTGAGCCCGGTGCTGATCGAGAAGAAGAGGCCTCGTTGCTGCCACCAAATGCCTTGGAGGGTACCGAAGGTCTTGTCACCGAAGTTTCGAGAAGGTACTGTTGATTCACTCTCCGCCATTGATCCCACTCTTGTACCATCTCTTCGCAGTCGAGAAGCATAGAGGAGAAAATAATCCCAGTGGGATTACCGCCACGCTCCTGGCCGTCGTGAATCATGAGCGAGTCCCTTAAGTCCTGGGGCAGTGAGCAGTCAAGCTGATGCTCAAGCTCGATCAAGTCGTTATTTGTACAGCCCTCACAGAGCTGGTCAAAAAGCTCGGGATAGTTCTCTTCTGCCCACCGATCTATGCGCTTCCAGGAGTGACTGACGGGAGGCGCCGGGGGGGTACCATCGGCAAAGGATTGCATTGGAATGTCGCCAGGACTGCTCACAGTCTCAAACCCATCATCCTTTGAACTTTGCCTCCGAGCGTTGAACGACCTCAGACCTGGGGAGTAAGCGCCGTTAGAGGTAGGTGAGAGTGGAGTTGCGGAAGGCATGCCAGCTCCCAGGTACGCAGTACCATCTGCCTGATTGGATAGCCGACCCAACTCGTCATGATATGTAACATCAGCCCGAGAGTCCGAAGCGGTAGCAACCGATGTTAACGTGTTTTGACGGTTCAGAGGCACGTGGCGACCGGTTCGAACGGGGGAATCGTAGTTCGAATCTATCCAGGAATTTTAGCAACTTTGTCTGGGTTCTATGGTATAAAATTTCTTCTTCTTCTGCAAGCATTGTGGTAACCTACGTCGGTCATAACTGGTCATAGTATGCCAAAAGGAACGGAAGGCCGACCCGATATTGCTAGAGAGTAAATGGTTAGATTTTCATCGGGGCCACTGTCAGTCGTAGGAACTTACGCCATATTGTCGACGCTGCTCTCGGCTAGCTTAATTGTTTTGTCCGATAGGCACAACCGATTCTGTCAACTTTTGAAATGGGGTTCGCCGCAGAGGGTGGACTGAGATGCGTAAACTGCTGACAGGGACGGCAATAAATAAGAAGACCAATAACGGTATGGTTCTAACGCGTTCGCAGTGCCGGATCCAAATGCGGGTAGATAAGTACACGATAACGAATGACTTCTTTTATGCCGGAAGACAAGGATTCGAGGACCGAAACACGATATCGAAGAGAGAGAGAGAGAGTTCGTCGGAGGAGCTGAAATGTTGTTCTTCTCGGCGCTGGAGGATGAAGAACAGATGTTCAAAATCCTACGTGGAGAAGAGGGAGGTGTAGAATAGGTAGATGTCTTTATTGCGTGTTACGGTCTTTGTCGGCTCATTGCTCACTCGATTCTACCAGTCGGTCGTCATTAGAGTCGGTCAGCAGGAGGAGTGAGTGTCGGAGGTTGCGAGGACGCGATCAAAATGTGTTTTCTCTCGGTGATAATTGGTGTCCGAAGTTGGATTGCGCTGCTATGACACCCTTTTCTCTTTTCTGCCCTTGCTATTCAGGAGGTGAGACTAACAGGGGTGTTGATGAATGATGGGGAAAGCGATCCTTGTAAAGAGAAAGGCATAAAAAACAAAAGCGAATGAAGGGGGGGGAAAAGGAGAGGTGCAAGTAGAATTAACCCTCTTGCAATGAATTGCTCTCTCTGGAAAAAAAGGTCTGTAGGTTGGTCAAATGGATGGGAAAAAGAGGTAAAAGTAGGGGAGGGCTCGATCCAAGTTTCTTAAAGGTTATGACTTGGTTGGTTGTCAGTGTCTGGTGGCTTGCGTGGTTGGAAGCAGGCACATATGATAGGGGAATGGTCAGCAGCAACGGGTGAGGGGAGCGCGGACTGAACAGTTCCCCAATATAGTCTACCTATGTACCTACCTGGTAATGACAGTGGACAATAAAGATACAAAATTTAGGGGCTGGTCGGGTGGTTTTGGGGGGGGGGGCAGATGGTGAAGAATTTGAAAAGAAATCAGGGCGCTAACCTAGTCGGCACTCAATTTCCCCCCTGACCGCCGGTTATAGTGGGCGCGCCGTCAGTGCGCTAACTTTAATAGGACGGGTTCTCATTTAACACTCCCTTATCCCCAAATAGGGTCCCAACATTCCCCTGCTCAGGGCTTCAAACTTGAAACGGCAACAATAAACAAGCGCAAGCCAGCCCGAGATTGGGCGCGCTGTTGCGCATATGCAGTGCAACCAACCACGTCCCTGGAAGCATGGAGGCGCGGAAGCACATACCGCACCGTAGCTACCTAGCTAGTAAATAACCTGCTTCATTCATCATCAAGGAAACGACGTGCCATGATGTGTGGCGTAAACGTCAACTCCCAACAACTCAACTTACAAGGCGCAGATCAAGAGGCAAAGACAGACGTTAGATGTTGCCAATGCACTAATTATAGTGTACGCTGTCTACAATTGCCTCTATTAACTGCTCTATCCAACTTTCATCATGGAAGACATGCAGTGCACCCCGTTTCCCTAAACCAGTTGATTTGTTACTGAACAACAAGACGAAAAAAATCGATCAACCGCGGATGCTGGTTAATACCATGCCGTACCTATAGAAGACGTAGACCATCAGGCGGAGTTGCATATCAATAGATATTATCACCATCGTCATGCGTTCTTCGACCCTGGTTCTTACCACGTCATCTACCGTCGCATTCTAGCATTATCCATACGTCAGTCCCAACTCTCCCGTTACCTCTCCCTCATAGATATTCGATGCCTCTTGTGTTGTCATCATCAGAGACGAAACAGCCATCGCTCATCTCTCGCGTTAGTCAAGAATATCTGTTGAACAATGGTTGGCTGATGATTTATTATAAAGGTTATTTTGGAGGTTGTCACATGCTGCGCGGTCTGTATTCGGACTTCCCAACTTATATTAGCAGCATCACTAGCATACCTAAGTACTGATAGATTGTTTAAATGGTCCGTGCTCAAACGACTGAGCAAAGTGTATTGTTCCGAAGGACGAAGGGTGTAATTTTACCATAGTATTTAACATGCTACCAGTACCTACCAGTATCCAAATTTCCGTAGTGCTTATAGGTCGACTTTTAGAAGGTACCTAGTTTATCTACCTACTTATAAATAAGATGCAAGTATCTCTTGCCTTCCCTCTCTGCATACATGTGTATTAGGTAGGTACTTATGTAATCTGTTCGCTGTAGCTGTTTAGAGAGGCGTTAGGTACCAAATGACTTGCATATGCTTGTTGGTGCCACAACCAAACGCCAAGACTCCTCCTAGATAGCCACAAACTTACTGCTGTACCTAGGTAGCGTGGGTCAAGTGAATGGATATCACGTGACAGTGTATCGGGCCCATAAAAGTACCACGTGACAGGACGACAGATCCACTCAATGTAAGAGAATTTCACGTGACATCCCAGAGGATGACCAGAAGTCCTAGATGTCATGTCGGATAATGTGAATGAAATATATAAGGGCAGCCGCACATAAAACTAAGGGACTGGGAAAACCACATATAGAATCAATAATTTCAGCTTAGCTACTATGCCACTTGGATGAGGTTTTTGTTGGCAGTTTACTGCCGGTTCGTCTCAGCACGATACTGTCAAAACCAAACTGCACAAGTTTGAGTGAATGTCTACAGCTAGACGACGAACGGATTCAACAAGTCTGAAATGTACCATAACAAACAAGTCTAGTCTTTGTCTAGGTACCCAAGCTGATATGGCTTCGAGCTACAATAATCGAGTCCAAGCTTTATGCGGATACCATCGCCGAGATGGCTTCACTTTTCCCTATATAAACATAGGTTCTGTCTGGAGAACCTGCTGTCCTCGACCTTCCTCGACTGTGCTCTATCATCCATCCTAACACAGCAACTCGACAAGAATCATCTATACCACGATTCCTTCACATACCAGATTTAACTACCACTACTCATCACTACTTCGGTGCGTTTACTTACAACCAAACTGCAAAATAGCTTGACCCATCAGGCATAACTGTATGCTAACCCTACAAGATCACCTCAAGTCCCGAAGACGCAATGGCGGTCCCCAATCTTCGCTGCGTCGTTCCTCTGAACACGTATCCCCCCATCGTACAACTTCATACCAGCAAAGTCTGCGGCGACTTCTACATCATCCCAGGAGTTGCGACGGCTCTTAATCACCCCGGAGTCATCATCGACATCGCAAAACCTGGGCAGCCCCAGGACCTCCGGCTGGTGTGCGGATGTCTCCGGGCCGATGGCCACCTCTGCGGCTCCGTGATGAAGAACTTCCCGCACAACGTGCGCTCGCACAAGTCCGACTTGCACAAGCCGGGTTCGGAGTACGAGAAAAATCAAGACGAGAGCAAGCAGTTTCAGTGCCGGGACTGTGATCGCGTCAACCACGGGTTCCACAAGCATCTGGGGCACTGCCGCTTGCGCCACGGATTCACCGGCAACCAGGATATCCGCAAGGGAGATCAAATCAACTAGGCGGAGAAAGGGGTAGGAGGGTATAGGATGGTGGGGATGGGGGTCTCGGGGGTTTCTGTAAACGATTGATGAGCAGCTCGGGTATCATTCGGCCATGACTCATTGGTAGAGTGCAGATTTTCATAATCTGATGTAATGGGTTCGATTCCCATTGGCAAAGAATGATGTTCCCGTTGCTTTGCTGGATTCAGCATAGGGCTATTGTGTTTCCCTGGAGTTCATAGGATGGTACGAATGGCAAATTTCTCAAGCCCCAAGGGCAATCTCAGACCTTAATTCGCTAGCTTCGTTCCTGACATGTTTCTTGTGATGGCTTTGCCGTTTCCCATATGCCTTACCTGCTTTGGGGGCCTTGAGTACCAGTAGTTAATACCTGCTGGTTGTATTCTGAATGCCAACCCTTTCATTCTAACCCCATATCATAGATTCTAGTCACAGACAGGCAAACAGGCTAGGTAAAGCATAGCATAGAGTTTTGCCTAACAGATATAGATAGCTATGAGATCTGAACGCCAGTTGCACACCTACTACTAAAATAATATTAGTAAATAAACTATATGGTAAGATCCTACAATAATGTGTGCGAGGTAAAGTCATAACTCACTTTTTAAAAAGAATATGGAACATATGCTTCAGATAACGACAAAGTAGAATCCACTGGGAAAGCTGCTGAGAGACATAGGAAATCCTGCACATTGAAAACAGGAACAGATCATGGAGACAATTTTACTGATATACTAGAAAACAAGTTTCATGTTACCATGGCACCAACTGAGTCCTCAGACTTGCTAGAATATCGCTATCTTGAGTAGTTCTGCCAAGACAAAACAATCCAAATACCCAAAGAGTGCCAGCGTTTAACAGCATGACAAGATCACCATGAAGACAAATTCCATGGTTGATGTCCTCAATGGCCAAATACACATAATGCCCTTACTAGACCAGGAGATAGAACATTAAGCAAGGAAAGCCAGGTCTACTACAAACCTGCCTGACCGCCTACTGCTCAAACTCTCCCTTACAAAGCACGCCGCTTGTTTGCCAAGGCACGGATTGTCAAGGTACTTTCTTAAACCATACAACGCAGCTTCCCCCCCTCCTCCCAATATCACCTGATAGACAAGGCGAGCAACTAAGTAAAATCGAATGTATTACATGAGGAGATTCTGTGTTTTACACGCAAAGAAGCGAAGTGGGCTCTATACACTGGCAGCATGATAGATCCTGGTAGAAAGAGGTAAGATCTCTGGCAGGTGTGACTAACTGGGATATAGCATAAGCAGCATTGGGAGACCCAAAGCCCGAAGTTTGGCAATTTGAACTTGGAAGGCTGCATCTCTCGACCCGTGTTCCGGACCAGGTAAGAATTCAAAGATCGGATGGCCTTGGGTCAGTGCTAGTCTCCGTGATGGCTGATGAACCGCTTGCAAGATGCTCAGTAAATACTGGTGGCGTATTATATACCACGATAGAAATATACCCTTCGTCATTCGGGACAGTACACTTAGCTCAGTCGTTTGAGCATAGACTAATTATACAATCTACCAATACTAGTACGTGTAGTGGGTTACATGAGAGTTTGCAAACGTGTTTTGTTAGTTTCTCAAGCAACCAGACCATTATGTATTGTACATTATGTTTGCCACATGTACTCGCTCAATGCCAAAACCTTTTCTCCCATCTGTCTCTTTGCAGCCGCGTTGACTCCTCTCTCGGGATCTGCAAGTTGTACACTATAACATAGCTCTACGAGAGCTTTGAGCTCGTCGTAACTGAATTTCTCTGCTTCTGGAATAGAGCCCTGATCTGCTTCTCGCTCCTTATCCTGCTTTGCCTTCGCCACAATCGCGTCTACACCCTCTTCAAATAATTCGTAATAATTGGCGGCCCTGGCGAGATCTACGCCTGCCTCAATGTTCTTGAGGTTTTGCTGAAGCACGAGGATATTGAGCTGCATGCGTTCGCAGCCCCGCATATTCATAGGCTGTGTTGAGATCGCGTTGGACACGAGGTATGAATTAATGAGGAGTCCAAGGCCGGTTCGCACGAAGGCAATCTCTCGATCACGAAGGAAACGTACAGCCGTTTCATCGTAGGCGATCAACTCGGCATTCAATGATAGGATTTGTGGGTCGGGCTCTTTAATCTCGCGATCACCAAGAACGTAAGGCGCCGTCTCGGGCGACAGCGCCACACGCAGTGACTGAATAATACGGCAGCGGATTTCCATGTGGAGCGTCAGAAGTACGGTACCCGCCAACTCTTCGTACGAAGAGACGATCCGATCAAAGGATCTTTTCAAACGAGTTAGCTATACACACCGCAGGTGGGGGGAGGCGGGAAATGTTTGTGCTTACTGAACAGTATCCTGTGTCATCGGCAGATACACAGGGCCATGTTGCTCTCCATTGGCCTTGTTGGGGTCATTCAACAAGGTCCACCGCCGATTTTGATCCTTTGGCATCGTAGGCTGTGATGAATCCGTGTTATGCCGAGTGATATGCCTTAAGCCCACAATCTTTGTTGAAAGCCACTTCATACTGGTGTAGAGGAGACACAATGACGAGATGACGTCTCGGTCCTGAATTACGTCGCTGGGATCAAGAGGGTGTTCGTTGGTACGCATTATTAGCAACCCGACTTCTTTCTCTATCAACTCACGGTCAAGAGTATCTGACGTCCAGAGCCTCTGTATTGTCTCTTGAATATCTCCCTCTGTAGTCGCCAGTTCCGCTGAGAACCGCAAGGTTTGCGATGTAGTAGCTGTGTCTTGGGCCTTCGCAACCAGCGACTTGAACCATGCAGAGCATCTTTCGTAGTAGCGCATCATTTGTGAAATGATAAGAGAACTGAGGGCTTGGTCGTGGGGAATGGTGCCAAGCATGCGACAAAAGGCCGTAACGACAGTGAAGAATGCCGTTGTTCCTTTGAAAACAGGCCGTCGAGCTACTAAACGCCAGTCCGAGTCTTGTTGAAATGAGTCAACTTCGCCCAGTACACTGTCACTAAGCTTGCCCAGGGTCTCGTCTAATTGGGGCTGGAAAACGTTGACCAAGAAGTTATCAAGGAAAGACGTCAGCGCGCTGGCGGCCAGGTCAGAACCTGGAGGCACAATAGCTTTCAGCCTCTGGATGAAGATGAGGGTTGGCGGTAGGAGGAGACTCATATTGAATACGCTAGGCTCTACTAAGGATTTATAGGATCCTGGTGGATTCCTGCTGTCGAGACTTGCGCCGAATGTGCTCTTTCGTGAGTCTTTCCCAATTAGAGATGCTTTCTTATCTAATGGCTGAGACTTTCGAGTGTTGGAGGTAAGGCCCGGCACGGCGGTCTGGATGATGTTATCAAGAGCTTCGTACTCGGTCGCCATTTCGATAGACTTTTGGTCCGCTTCCGAGAATTTGAAAAGACTGTCCCTTGGCGTATCCTTATTCCCATTTAAGGCTGCACCGTGTCTCGGGGATGAAGCAGATTGATAGATATCTGCATCCGTAGTCACATAGTTATGGAGAAGCGAACGAATTTCGTTCTGATAAAGATTCCACAGTTCCCTAAAACTTCCAAGGAGTGGAGAACTGTTCCCGGCGCCCTCCCGTCGAACAAGGGCCTTGACAGCCTCATGAAATACGCGGTGCCCTTCGGCGATGGCTTCAAATTTGGCGTACAACGTCCATAAAAGATCGTATATGACATCTGCGCGCATCTGCGTTTCCCTATTGCTATAGATATGGAGCCCTTGGGCGTTGCTAGACCCTCCACGAAGCGAGCTTGGATGCCTTTGATCAACATCGTTTATGGTCTCGTTCACGACGGAGAAGAGCTCGACAGGCAGTCGCTGGTTTAGCATATCCACAGCACTGTCTAGCCTTCCAAGCTTGTTGAGCGACTCGGCGAGTAGGGCAATGTACCAGGATGTATCTGCTTCCGGATTCTTGGAAGGATCTTCGGTCACAGGATGTTCGAGATCTAAGGTATCCAGCACCAAGTGGAAAGGAGTGATGGCGGCTGAGTCGCTATAATTTTGGCTGTGAGCGCCGTGATTCTTGGCCAGGCTTTGCCAACGTTCCTGGCAATAAGGCGACTTGAGATAGAGGTGCTCGTGCAATTCTTCAACTAGAATGTCCATCAGCGCCGTCTCCTGGTTCGCCAAGTAACTTCGGAGGTCTGACAAAGCGCCAATATCGTCGAGCTCGGGTTTTCGCAATTTACGCAAGGCATTCTGCAGGACTTCAACGGCAGTCAAGAAGCGCTTTTCGGAAATGCGGGCCTCGAGCTGATCTGGTACAGTCCGTAGGTCCTCGAGTTCATTCAGGGTTTGCAGAACATCGTCATACATTTGTGATGACTTGTACAGCTTTTTCAGGTCGGGATCTGAAGTGCACAGGCTGTTTTTCGAAGCGGCCAGGGACTCCTTGAGGGAGCGCACGCGCTTTTGCGAGGCCTGTATGCTGCCTTGGATTTTATGGAACGTGCCGATGGAGCTGTTGAAGCCCTGGTGATGCTCATGAACAATGCCTTTCAGCGAGTCTTGCAAGTACTGATGCGTCTTCTTAAAGTTGTTATACTCGTGAGCTCGTCCGACGGAGCTGCTGTCGAGCAACTGTAGGGCTAAGGAAACTGGTATACAGTCGTTCTGAACCATGGCAGGCCACTCGGACTTGATGTGCTCGAGAACCTGGGTGATTTGTCGCTCGGCATTGGTTTCATTCGTGCGCTGGCGCCTCGACGAGGAGGCAGATGGGACGAAGCGGCCTGAGTCGGGGGGAGGACGTCGAGAACTCAATTGCTGGGGAGCAGAGGAGGGGGATTCGTAGCCGTCATCTTGCCTCCCATATGCGCCGTTGCGGTATGACCCGCCAAACCTGTTGGACATGGTCACGCTGACGATGCATTCGGGATTCGGGGGGCTCGAGGTGTTGTCGGCGCCCTATCGCATCAGGGATTCGTCGCTACTCATGAGCAGATCGTAGGTATTATCGTTGCATGCGAGTTTCTTTGTGATAGTCGCTAAAGTGCGAATCAAAATCGCATCGTTTGCGTTGCCAATTCGTATACCAGGCAGAAACCAGGGTAGCTTGGAACGTTTGGAGTTGGGTATGAGCCGCGCGGGATGAGATAGGATGTTCTAGGTATCGAGCCTCAAGTCCACGGCCCGGTCGC